TAGATACACCAAAAAGCGCTCCCTAGCTTTACTATGCGATTTTAAAGGACTTAAAGGTGATCTACAGTCCGTATGTAAACAAAGCCTTTGTTTATATTTTTGTGTCCAACATATTGAGCTTTATTCGACAACTATTTATATTTTCAAGCTTCTAGAGTACAATAAATGATCAAGAAACAACAATCAGGCTTTTCAAGAACTCAAAACATAGTTAAACTGTTTGTATCATAAAAAGTGGGCTGATTTGTGCACATGCGCAGATCGGACTGTAGATCACCCTTAAAATAAGAAAAATAATCTATAAAATAAGAATATTATTCCGGACTAGAATTTGCTGTTTTGCAGTGCATGATTTTATGTGAAATTTCACTTTTTACTTCATGTGAAATCCTTTTACATAGTGAAATTTCACTTGCATATTAACTTAAATTAATATAAAATCCTTTAACATATGAAATTTCACTTTTTACCGTTCATGTGAAATTCTTTAAATCACATATGAAATTTCGCTTGTAAGTAACTTAACGTGAATTTCTGCCACATATGAAATTTCACTTTCTCGTTCATTCACATGTGAAATTTCACTTTTTTACTTTTATATGATCATTTCTCATGTGAAATTTCACTTGTAATTTCATGTGAAATCTTTTCACATGTGAAATTTCACTTGTAATCAGTGGCGGCGTCAGGGGGGTGACAAGCGGGGATGCTCCCCCCCAATTATTTTTTGCCCCACTCCCCATCCCTCAAATAAAATTATTAGACACTGAGAGCGACTAAAGGCTACACAAGCGTTTTGTCGTTATCGGAAAATGTATGGTTTATAAGTTCTCATTACTCATTAGTCATTAGTGAATGCGCGTATAATACTGTTTTTACCGAGTTTCAATATTAATTTGTAAATCTCTGAATGGTAAAACTAGCCAATACTCCAATAATACGTTTCAAAAAAGACAAAAATGCTTTAGTTTTGCAAAGTTAAATTCCCAAACGTGTAAGGCACTAATAAGATGAACGTATCACGAAATTTGAATAAACCACATCGCATATATGGGGGCGACATTCCTATGGGGGGGGGGGGGCGAATCTCCTTGACGGGGGAAGTCCTAAAGGGGGAGCGATATTCCTATGGTGAGGGGGGTGGCGAATCTCCTTGAGGGCGGAAGTCCTATGACAACGGCATGGGCAAATGGCACTACCTATTTAACAACTCTATCTTGCCCCCCCCCCAAAAAAAAAAATATGAGTTTGCCCCTCAAATCCCCCGCCCCCTATTTCAGAGGCCCGGCGCTGCCACTGCTTGTAATTTGATGTGAAATCTTTTCACATGTGAAATTTCATAGTAATTTGTAATTTCAGTCGTAATTTCATGTGAAATCCTTTCACGTACATGTGAAATTTCACTTTGTGATTTGTAATGTCATGTGAAATCCTTATCTTTTCACATGTGAAATTTCACTTGTAATTTCATGTGAAATCTTTTCACATATGTGAAAATTTCACTTGTACATGTAGTTTGTAATTTCATGTGAAATCCTTTCACATGTGAAATTTCAGTCGTAGTTTCATGTGAAATCCTTTCACGTACATGCGAAATTTCACTTTGTAATTTGTAATGTCATGTGAAATCCTTATGTTTTTACATGTGAAATTTCACTTTTAGTTTCATGTGAAATCTTTTCACATATGTGAAATTTCACTTGTAATTTGTAATTTCATGTGAAATCCTTTCACATGTGAAATGTCACTTGTAATTTGTAACGTTCATGTGAAATTCTTTCACATGTGAAATTTCACTTGTAATTTATAATTTCATGCGAACACTTTCACATATGGAATATCACTTGTAATTTCATGTGAAATCTTTTCACATGTGAAATGTCACATGTGATTTCATGTGAAATCCTTTCACCTGTGAAATGTCTCATTTAATTTCATGTGAAATCCTTTCACATGTGAAATGTCACATGTGATTTCATGTGAAATCTTTTCACATGTGAAATGTCACATGTGATTTCATGTGAAATCTTTTCACATGTGAAATGTCACATGTGATTTCATGTGAAATCCTTTCATTTGTGAAATTTCACATGTGATTTCATGTGAAATTTTTTCACATGTTAAATTTCACATAAGATCACATAATTTCACATGTTATCACATGATTTCACATGAAATCACACGTGTAAATTCATGTGGATTTTTTGTAAGGGTTGTCCTCCCCCCCTTAATATTACGCAATTTTACTCAAAATTCGTAAGGCTCTGCGTAGGAGAGTGCCTCTAATATATATATATATATATATATATATATATATATATATATATATATATATATATATATATATATATATATATATATATATATATATATATATATATACAGGGTGTATAAAAAAAAGGTAAACGAAATTCAACGCGCTATTGTATCTGAATTACTCTACGTATGAACGAGATTTTTTCACATTCGGAAAGATCATGGTTTTAGCTGTTGAATGATATCTTCTTCATGCCAAATGGATAAAAAATGAGCAAATACGAATCCGATAAAAAATGTTAGTCAGAATCGCATACTTTCACCGTTGAGAGTTTGGTCTAAAACCATTGAAAATGAACCCCCTTTGGCACTTAAGTTGATGAATTTCACTTCATTACACGACGCACATATTCATAATTATTATTAAATAGGAATAAATGCTGGCTAAGCTACGACACGTCCGTGATTAATTGCTTTTTCTTTTGTTATCCATTGTTTTAATTAGGCACAGAGGTGAAAATATACGATTTTGACTAACATTTTTAATCGGCCTCGCACATGCTTATTTTTTCTCCACTTGGCATGAAAAGCATGTCATTCAATAGCTAAAAGCCTGATCTTTCCGAATATGAAAACCAATTGTTCATACGCCGAGTCATTCACGTATAATAGCGCGCTGAAGTTCGATTACCTTTTTTTTTATACATCCTGTATATATATATATATATATATATATATATATATATATATATATATATATATATATATATATATATATATATATATATATAAACATTTAAATTATAATCCAGAGAACAAAATAATTTGTAGAATTATTCAATTAATAAAATGCCTGGATTACAAATCTTCAACTCTATTAAATATTATATATATATATATATATATATATATATATATATATATATATATATATATATATATATATATATATATATATATATATATATATATATGTGTGTGTGTGTGTGTATGTCTATATATGTATGTATGTATTTGTGTGTATGTATGTGTATGTATATATGTGCGAATATATATTTACAAATATCCGTTATTACTTATTAGAGAAGGGAGGTGCCTCGCATGGAACTTCTATATAGCCTCGTTCGCACCTTCCCTTTTGGGCCGGTTGATATTGTACTAATTATTATAAAGTAATTTATGGCACCAATAAAGTTGTTAAATAAAATAAAATAAATACATTGTTTTGGTTTTGTGTGTAATGTTATGACGGCATTTGACCCCCCGGTCGAAAGGTTATTTTATGAGGATTTCAACGGTGTTTTTTGTTTTAAAGGGGGGTAAATACTTGCCGAGATATTTTAAATTTTCTCCTCTCCAAAGTCGAAATATGTAATATGACCGGATGAGAATGAGTTTTAAAGGCGGTTTCCACTTCAAGCGTATCGTACCGAAACGTATCAAAAACGTTTTTAAATTACAAAATTTCGTGAATGTTGATTGGTTTGTACTTCCGTAGTACGCCAAAAAGTTGACTTGCGACGAACTTTTCGTTTTGATACGCGAATACACCCGGAAGTACGTGGATTTATAAACCTCTTTTCAATCTTCGCATGCTCACCAGTACGTTTCGGTACGATACGATACGATACGGGCGAAGTGGAAAACCAGCTTTACAGTTCGTACGGACCGTACGATCCGTAAGGATCAACAAACTTTAATGGCCTGACTTAAACACAACATCACCTATTGACGCTCTTTGCGAATCGACACAGTAGGCTCACGATCCGTAAATCATTTTCACGTACCGCACGGTTCGTACGGTCAGTAAAGCCATTTCACAGTCAGGCCGTACGAACCGACGGATCGTGTTCAATGTTTTACCATCTTTTCGATCCGTATACGTTCGACAATATTGGACAACCATCGGTCACGTGGAACTTATAGTGCAATGCTTAGCGCATGGTATAGGGAAACAATAGTAGGGCCACTCAGCATCAAAAAGTGTCCACATCATTTACTGGCTGCCAACGTGATTAAAATATTGGCAATCAGTAAACGGCAGCAATTCACTATAAAATTGTATTAATTACAGAAGAATTGGTTGTGGCCGCGCAAGACACCTGGGACTAGCTTAAAAAAATTCCACTTTTGTCTCCCCTAAGTGGCTCTACTGCTCTGGCTCTACTGGTTGTTTCCTAGACTTTCCAAAGTCCTTTCCAGACCCCTCTATGGCGCGCTTCACTTCCTCTGTGGAAAGGACTTTTGTCACTTGCAGCGCGCCAAATATCACCGGTGGAAAAATCCACCGGTGACGTCATTGTTTACATTGAAGGCCGAAGCGGTTTAATTTATTGATCATTATCGAAGGAGTCTAAAAATAACATTATATTCTCAGGCTTTTTTGTTGAACAAGCATTTATTATTGAAGCAAACAGAGTAAACAATGTAAATACAATTTTGTAGAACACAAAAACCATGTGAAAATACACAAACGGCAAACATTACATTGACTATGAGTACATGCAGCCTACAGGGTGTAGAAATAAACTTTAATACTGTCACCGAAAATGCATGCATGTGATGATTCTAAAATTTCCTCACTAGTTTCGGGTTTAGTTTGGGTTTCTTGATCTCGACTACTGATTATTACAAATTCGTTTGTTGAGAAAACATGATTTACTGGATTTTGAACTCTAGTGATGTCTTCTCGTAATCTCGTTGATCACAATCGCCGCCTCTCTGCTTCTTGGTTTAATACAGTTGCTTGATTCTTTTCAATTAGATTAACTTCTACTACGTTAAATCGCTCGCGAACTTAATCAATTTTCTTCGGCGCTTACTTGGGTCAGTTATTTCGTTTCCACACTCGGTGCAAACTGTTTCATTCGAGGACAAAGAAATATCAATTCTTGAGAATGTTTTTGTAGACCCATTGACGGCGCGCGGTGAAGCAATTGTATGAAATGTACACACCCTTTTTAATATGTCAAAATTATTCGCGCCAAAATTTTTAATGCGATTTAAATTCCTGCAAGCGACACAAGTCGACCACTCGCGACTTCGTCGCTCGGGTCGCGCGCTCCCTCCCCCGCGCCCTCCCTCCCCCATGGTCGACTTGTGGCAAGTCTAGTTGTTTCCCTATACTGTGCTTGAGGTGTTGACATATATAATAGTATAATAGTTTAAGCCAAACAGATCCGAAAATCATTAAATTTCATTGATATTTCCGCGATGCCGGGAACGAATAGCTCCATATCAGCTGTGATACATGTCAAAATAGTACTGGAGTTGGAATTTTTCGGATTCCTTCTACATTATCAACGAAAACTCGTGAAGCGTAGATCAACATAATTACAAAGGACCGCGTAGTGGATGAAAATTTGCGAAGGCAAATAAAAAAATGGGACGTTGTATGTTTGCGAGAGGCACTTCAAGAAAGAGGAATATGAATGTATTTATGGATATTATTCTTAAAACTTTATAATTTAATAATAAAACATTACAGTGTAAGTCTCAGGCTTTTACACTTTCAGTTTATGCTGCCCCCAGAGCCCATCGTTGTGTGTGTGAGTTGATGGGTAATTTTCTTCTGATAAATGGAATGTGCCAATTAGTTAGCTTAAGAATGACGTGAGAGTTCTTACTGTGTATGTATCTATTTATTTTCTGAACATTCATAACTTAGAAGTTTATTGTCATCTATCAAAAGTAGGTGGAGCAAAAATTGCTGCAATCGCGTTAATTCCATAGGCACAGTCATGCTAGAAATGCAATGTAATTTGTATTATGCTCAAATAATACACTACACAATGTATGCAATTAATTAAGTCACAATGCTCGTACTTTATTTTTTTTAACATTTGTCTGATGCCATATGATTTTAACCCTTTAAGCTGCAATGCTTAATCTGCACTGCCGTTGATGTGCGAAATTGTGATATTATAATTATAATACTCCTATCATACAATATTCATATAGACAATCGCAAACCGTAAAAGCAAAGACATGTCAATTTTTTTCAGCCCAAGCGTGAGTGTTATGAAGCCACGACAGAGCAGAAATAAAATGCATACCGGAAAACGTTGCAGTAATTTAGATATTTCATTTTTTGTTGATGAAGTTAAAAACTCGAAAGTTCTGAACGTTTAACGATTTGCAACAAATCGGAACTCGGTTACCCAGTTCCTGGTCCACTATAGTATGATCGTATTTGTTATTATATCTCATTTGTGTCGGTTTTCTTTGATCGTCCGAGGTTTATAACTAGCTAATATACCTTGAATAAATAATTACATCAAACTTTTCGACAAAACGCGAGAATTTTTCATCAAAATTTTTTGAAAATGACAAAATATGTTAGAAAACCTCCACAAATGAGATATAATTTAGTTATAAACCTCGAAAGTCGGTTTATAACTGATATATTGCCCTCAGTTATAAACCTCCTTCTCGGTTTATAACTCTAACTTATCAGTGGCGTGGCAAACGCGATAATTGGGGGAGGGGCAATATTCATATATTTGTGTTCTGCATCATTAATTTATTTTGAAATCAATTGCTTTTAAGGTCTGTGAACACGAATATATGAATATTGCCCCCCCCCCCCCAATTATCGAGTTTGCTACGCCACTGGTTATTATGGTGCCTTATATCATAATTATTACCATTATTTTGTCAATTACTATTAAGAAATTGCTTTATATTTTCTCTAAGACTGATGTACCCTGGTTATTTAAGTGCAATCCTTAGTTATTTAATGCCAATTTACGTCAATATTATTGTGCCATGCCAGATAAGACACCAGTTTTGTTCTATACATAGTTGGGCTAATCCCTTGTTATATTCGGTTACTTTATCAGCTAATATTTTGTCGTCGTTTCTTGTTATGATTTCTGATAAAACTAATTCTATATTCCTGTTTTCCGATTAAGTAAAGTAGATGTAACGAGTGTGTTACGTGTCTCTAACGTGAAAGCGTTTGCTTAATCAAGCCAAGTGCATAAAATTTTAAATTTACATGAAGGAGTTACTTCAGATTGGTTGGAGAACATCCCATGCACAAGCACAACAACATACAGCTATTTCAATTAAGGTTGTCCCCGAGCAAAGCGGAAAAGTCGAATACTAGCGTGAAATACTTATTGGAAATCGCTAATAAATTCACTAATTTTTTACGATTCCCAGCAAGCCTTTCGCGCTTGTATTCGACTTTTCCGCTTTGCTTCGGGACAACATTAATTGAAATAGTTGTATACTGCTGCAGTATAAATAACAAAGTTTTCTTATTTGTTGTCATATGGCTAAGCTGAAGAACTGTCATACAATGACTTATATAATGGGTAATTAAGCTCAATTTTTTTGGCTTATTATGTTGCTAAATCGCATGCAAAGTATTTTGATAAATCGTACTTAGGCTGCAGCTGACTTTATTTGACTCTTTTCCCAAAGATTTTTCTCTAGTAAGTAAATGCATGGTAAAAAAAAAATTAACTAGAAAATCTTCTGTATTCTTGCCCATTTCCCCGCGCAGCTTCCACGCGGAATTTATATATTTTGGGGGACAAAAACTTTCGGTAAATTGATTAAAATATGTCAATATCCTTACATGTCAACTTTACCGCTCACCCCCAGACGGCTCAATCTCAAACAATCTCGATCAAAAATAATGAGACTCTTGATAGTTATTTCTTATCGCTCTCACTCCTTTCCAATGTTGAAGAAAAATTTTGACCTAACAATATACCTTTGTATTGTTTGTCCAACATTTTTGTGAGGGGAGGGGGCAATAACTTAGTTGTGTAAATAATTTTTGCACGAGATTATAGTGTTTCATTTTTCTCAACCGTTCCTGGTTAGGTCAAAAATTGTGTATATACGTGCTCACTTGGATTATCCAACAAACCAAGCATTGAAGTTCGACTAATTAATTTATAAGTAAATTTCAAAAAACCTCTTTCAAGTACCACTTTACTATAGACCTATACTTTTGTAAATCATATCCTTACCTTCAATATATCTTTCAGCCATATTTCCTGCAAAAGAAATAAAAAATGAAAAGCAAAGCTTATAGTCTAGGACCTGTATATGAGTTTGTATGCATTTCATTTTTGATAGATAATCTCAACTGTATTAGGGCAAGTTGACCATGACGGTCAACATGGTAACGCAGCCAGAACCCCAATCTGGGACGAAACATCCGAAACTGAACACACCCAAAAACGACGCTTTCGCCATAGTGCTATCTTCCAAACCATAAAAGCTTTGGCTATTCTGAGGTGCTTATATGGTTGAGAGATGGTGCTTTTAGGGGTGGTCCTTGGTAAGTGTGAAATGCCTATAGCACTGATATTTCAAAAGACAATGACCATGCAATACTCACAGTCAAACTTCAATTTGTGGCTTACAACTTCAAATCAATAGCAGTGTATCTACATTACCTTTTTCCTAAATCTTATTGACATGGGCGTAGAAAGCTTCTAAAAGTTGGGGGGGGGGGCAGGGGGGAGGTCATCTTAAAAAAATTTTCAGACATACCCAAAAAATTTCCGGATATGCCACATTTCTTCCTAAATACGAAAAAAATTTTCCGGACATACCAAAAAATTTTCCAGATATATAATATTTTTCTCGGAAATGAAAAAAATTTTCCCGAAATAACATAGATTCAAGTTTTCAAAAGTGCAATCAAAACTTTTCAAAAAAGGCAATCTTAATGAAAATTTTTAACGCAAGAAAAGGGCACTTTGCTCCCGGAAAAAGGGCACTTGGCAAAACTTGGGGAGCCTGCCTCCCCCTGGCCCCCCGTTCCTACGCCCCTGCTTATTGATAGAAACATAATTGGTTCTTATTTAATTATATTGTCACTGTTTTGGTGCAAAATAGTTAATACTTTGTGACCGAAATAATAATTTGAAATGTACATATCTCCTGCAAATGGACGTATTTGGCCAAATTCTCCACTTTACTCCGCTGTTTATGGCCGATCTCGTTGAAATCCTTCCAAGTATGCAATTCAGCTCTGATCAAACATAACGGTATCAAGCACATTTTAAACAAGTTTCAACTGCTTTTCAAGTAGATCCTAGTTGTTTAACCATCGACAAGGTAAAACCTCAACTTTGTCCAAATTCGGCGCCATTTTGCCATCCCGTGTCGGTTGTCAACAATTCAGCTTTGTTATTCTTCCATCCAAGCCATTCCCATTGTACTAATAACAAATTTAACCCTTTGTTAAGGGTATTAAAATAAAAATAAAAATGAAATATGCGAAATGTAGCATTTTATCACCCTGTAAGGTGTTGCTTACGAGTCTTTCAAAACATTTCGTACAAATCTTCGCGTGGAAAAACATTCCGTTCAAAGCTTCCGTACAAATCTTCTTTGTGGGCCGTGACAGGAGGGGGTGAATTTTTTCACAAAGATAGAAGAAGGCTGCGTAAAATAGACTAAAACTAAATACGATCATACAAACCTTTGTTTTATTTCTTATTATTTATTAATATGAACAAGTCATACAAATTAAATGTTGATTGTTGCTTTTACCATACTGCGTGGGAGTTGCTTTCATTTTTCAAGTCGCCACCCCCCTGTCACGTCCCTGTTACTAAACCACGCAAGATTTGTACGAAATATTTTGAAGGACTCGTAAGCAACATTTTACAGGGTGATAAAATGCCGCATTTCGCTTATTTAATTTGTATTTTTATTTTAATACGCTTAACAATAAAGGGTTAAATTTGTTATTATAGTACTGTGACAATGGAAATGGCTTGGATGGAAGAATAACGAGGCTGAATTGTTGGCAACCGACACACGATGACATAATGTCGCCGAATTTGGACAAAGTTGAGGTTTTACCTTGTCGATGGTTAAACAGCTAGGATCTACTTGAAAACCAGTTGAAACTTGTTTAAAATGTGCTTGATACCATACATGTTTGAGCTGAATTGCATACTTGGAAGGATTTCAACGAGATCGGCCATAAAGAGCGGAGTAAAGTGGAGAATTTGGCCAAATACGTCCATTTACAGGAGGTAGGTACATTTCAAATTATTATTTCGGTCACAAAATATTAACTATTTTGCACCAAAACAGTGATAATATAATTAAATAAGTATCAATTATGTTTCTATCAATAAGATTTAGGACAAAAGGTAATGTAGATCCACTGCTGTTGATTTGAAGTTGTAAGCCACAATTTGACGTTTGACTATGAGTATTGCATGTCCATTTTCTTGTGAAAAATCCGTACTAGGCATTTCGCACTTACCAAGGACCACCCCTAAAAGCACCATCTCTGAACCATATAAGCACGCCAGAATAGCCAAAGCTTTTATGGTTTGGTAGATAGCACTATCGCGAAAGCGTCGTTTTTTGGTGTGGTCAGTTTCGGATGTTTCGTCCCGGATTGGGGTTGCATTGCAATGTTGACCGTCTTGGTCAACTTGCCCTAAAACAATTGAGATTATCTGTCCTAAATGAAATGCATACAAACTCATATACAGGTCCTAGACTATTAGTCACAGCGTTGAAAATACTTCATGACGACTACACATATAGCAAATCGCTCGTGTAGTGGTGCCGACAAGTAAATAAAAATTTGGGCAACCGAGAAGCCGATCAGCATAATGGTTGGCGAAAATCCAGTGGAAATACACAGTCAGAATTACAATGAAATTCATTTGAAGATCTTAACAATTTTTCATTGCTACAAATTGAAGGCGACGATGATTATCTTAAAATAATCGCCGAGGGCAATGGTACCTCTGATCGAATGGAGTTAAAACCAAGCTTGGGCAAAAGACCAAATAAACAGCCGTGTCTACAAGAGTTTCAAAAACTGAGGATAAAAAAACCTATATTTATTTCTGGTAATTCCATCGTGCAGTATGTTCACGGCTGGAAATTGTCAAATGCGAAGCAACGCGTAGCTTTAAAATCTGGATGTAAGGATGTAAGGATGTAAGGATGCTTTCTGGATGTAAGGCAGGAGATATGGCTGATTACTTGAAACCTTTGATTCGCAATACGCCTGCTGAAATAATAGTGCATGTGCGTGGGCATTAATGATATCAAAGACGACTCAAAATCAGCTGAAGTAGTTGCTGCCGAAATTTTAAACCTGAGCAACCATATTAAAGATAAGCTACCCAACACTAATTGTAAGTATCTCAGGCATAACCGTCAGGAAGAACAAAGCAAGCGTTAATAATAAAATTAATAATGTCAATGTCATACTCAAACGTGTGTGTGATCATAATAAATGGTCGGCTTATATAGCTAATAGTAGCATTGACAACATTTGTCTAAATAGACGTGCAGGCCTGCATTTAAATCGGAAGGATATCAGTATAATTTGATTTTAGTAATTACATAAATGCTTAAAATACGACATGGCCAGGTGGTTTAATGAATATGCCATTTACTCATGTAGATTTTCCCGATATTAAGGGTTTAAAAATGGGCATGCTAAATATAGTCAGTTTACCCAAATATACAGATGAAATTAGAGTTCTTTTAGCCGATCAATATTTTGATATTCTTGCACTAAATGAGACAGGACTTGATGATATTAAATATCTCTAATCAGGACATGTTTATATACAATTACGATCTTATTAGAGCGGATCGCTCAGGAACGGGAGGTGGAGTCTGCTGATATGTAAGAAACTATTAATTATCTCGATCGAAATGACCTGGTTGTGGATAATCTTAAAGCACTTAGATTCTTAAACCCCCTAGTGCACCCTTTATTGTTGGAACGATTTATAGGCCTCCAAGTGCCTCTGTCGACTCTTTTGCCAATATTGAGCAATTAATCCAATCAATAGATGATGAAAATAAAGAATTTTACCTACCTGATAACTTA